TTAAGAATATTTTTCTTCTTGTTTTGCTCTTGGTTGTAAACTGTACTAAAACAGCTGGTTATATTGTTACACTATCTAGTAAAGCTAGATTCTATCTAGTAAAACTGATTACCTCTTGTTTTTTTTTTTTAACCTAAAGGACCAGTAAGCAATAATTCATTATTTTAAATAGAAAAATGCTGATGTGCACAAAAGGTGTATTTTTTTGATGGAATATGGTGTGATGTCACACACCTTCTCTGTGCTTTTTCAGTCTCTTGTTTACAAACAGGGCAAGCCGTGTGTGAATGTACCACTATTTGAATGGCTGCCAATCCATAAATTGCCAGAGCAAGATGGTGGAAATGGTGTACAGTATGGGTATGAGAATTGTTTCTGTATTTTTCGCAACAAGATATTTTTTTTAGCAGCCTATATTTTAGTTCCTGAAAAAGCCTTGGTCATATGCAACAGCAGTTAGGACTGGATAGATACATCTTACTCTATGGTCTATAAAGTCAATGAATTACATCACCTTTCTGTAGCACTTTATGAACAGCTTAAGTGGTCTTTAGAACAGTATCAAAGGTTATTTTGGGGGCTTTACAGATGATTATTTTGTAGAATTAGGATACTTTCATCCATTGATCTATCCAACTGTCTTCTTCTGCTTATCTGAGATTAGGCCGCAGATGTAGCAGGTCAATCAGAAATACGCGCACACTCCTCTCGATGTAGCTCACACCAGGGGGGTCCTGGATAGTTTCCAGGTCAAGCAGGATATAAACTCCTTCTCGCGAGCTATGAATGTTCCACAGGGTCTCTACAGTGGTGAAACTTGCCCAGGAAACCTTCAAATAGACTTCAGTGACAGATACCAGAACCATCCCAACAGATTCCTTACAATGCGGAGAAGCAGTGGCTCTACCTCAAGCCTCCACCCAAAAAGATGCAGTCCTTTTTCCCGTCAAAAAAGCAGTCTGACCATCCAAGATAACCGTATTTGGATTAAGACAAAAGGGCAGCAAAAACCAAGTTACCTGTAGTAGATATCTATGATGGATTTATATTGACTGCTCACACCCATTGCCATAAAAATAAAGAAAAAAAAATGTATCCATTTAAGATAGCATTTTCTCAGTGGTAATAACTGAAGCACAAAGACAGCTGCTGTATTGAAGAAGCTCAATGACTAACAAACTTAAATAGTTCCAAAATGATAAACCATATTTTTTTGTGTTTTTATCTAAAAAAATTGTGGATTTTTTATTAATGACTTCTGTTGAAATCTTTTTTGGATATTTGTATATCTTCTGACACACCAAGTGAAACATGTTTGAGATACGCACTTGGTCTATCTCCCTGACAGGTGAAGCTTTTTGCCTCCTTTTTTCTCTTCCTCTGCTATAATTGCAAGCATATTTATTCCAACTTTATGTCTGGCTTATGTGCAGCTGTGTCTAGATAGCAGGAAGCCTTTTAGACACTTATTCTTTATTCCACAAATTGAGAAACATACTTATCAATGCAAATGAAATGAGTTCTGTGGCAGAAGGAGGTGAGCGAGTTTTAGGAAGAATAGCAAAAACTGAGGGAGAGAGAAAATCCACAGTAAAACCTAGAGCTTGTTCAGACATCTGGGGAAGTAAAAGGGAAACACAAATCTTACACACTTACATTTTTTGTCGCTTAATTTTGTTTTATTTGTGTACCACACAATGTAGCGCCATCTGACAGGGAGAATGTGAGGGTAATCCACTTAGTAACAAGACAGCCTCACTTCGGCTCGGCTTTGCTCAGGGACTGGCTCTTTGATCCGATTCGCTATATGCTGACCAGGCTAAAAGCCATTGAAGGGAAGGTGAAGAGCAATTAAATTCACTGTCATGCACACGCAGCCATTCTCACACACCCAAAACATTCACGTAATGGTTTTGAAGTTATGCTATGCCACAATAATTTCACTCAAACAACTAGCTTTCTCCATCTTTGTTTGCTTCACTGTGGGTGCTGTTTTAATACAAGCAGATGCTTGAATCACTATCCTTATATGTTCACACTCATGCACTAAAAGAGTGAAACAATATGTTTTTGTAGTATGTCACAAGACTACTGGTAACAAGTGAAACAAATCATTTTGGAGTGTGAATATTTTTCCATTGTACGATGAAATAATACTAATAATGCAATGCAGTAACCCAGTTGCAATTATTGGACACTCTTAAAGGTATAGTGGAAGATTTTCTTTTTCCATGTGGATCATCAAAATAAGTGGTCCTTCTAATTGTCATTCATTCTGGTGATATGTTTACATAAGGCCACTCTACGTGCACGTCCCCATTTTTATTTGCCAGTGGTGATCTGACTTGGGCTCTGTTCGAAAACCTAGGACGCATCCTTAGAAGACCGGATTTGAAGGCCGATTACGTCATAGCGCGGCGCCGAGGTCTGGTCGGATTCCAAGAGTCCTCGTTATGCGGCCTTAAAATTGCGTCATTCTTTGTGCCCGATTTGAAGGACGGGTCTGATGTATCCTCGGTATTCTTGGACATCCCAGCATTCATTGCGAGACCAAGCAAGCTGTGATCCGAGGAAAGGTTACTTGGCGCCGAACAGTGGTGGAAATTGGAAGTTCAGTTTAATATACAGTAATACAAGTCATTTAATAGTTCTGTCTGAGATTAATGAAAAATAGTTGTTTTAATGGTTATTGAGTCAGATATGTGGCAGTAATGTTTGGTTTATCTAAAGGTTTTAATCTGTTACTGTGTAAATGGGTTTGGCTGTATTTAAAGGACAGATTCTAATATATCTGCAGGGTGGGGACTATAAATCTGATAGGATTTTTATCTTTTTATTGTTGTTTTGCACAATATGCTTAACTACATATTTTTTGTTGTTGAATATTAGAGATTTTGCAGATATATTTTTTATAAATACATTGTTTAGATTTACTTATATCTTTCTACTCCTTTTATAGAATAGAATAGAAAATCCCTTTATTGTCCCACAAAGGGGAAATTTACAACAGCAGAAAGATTATTGAAAATGGTCACACAAATGTGGACCTTAGAAAATGTATAAGAATAACATAATAGGGAAGAGTTAAAATATAAACAATACAATACTGTAAAGTGTTTTAACCATATAAAACTGGGGAATAAATAACCAATATGCAGCTATGGACATTTTTACAGTAATGGATATTCGAAAATAGCAGCAACATCAGAGATGTGCAAAATGACAGCAGCATGTTATTTAACTGACTAAGGTTTCTATCATTACATTTGATTTTATTTGTTCCTGCTCCCGCTGGTTGGAACCTTTATTCCACTCTGGATTCTTGTGAGTGTAGTCTTTGTTCACTTCACAATAAAAAATAAATAAATAAACAGTTTTGAAAACTTCTGTATTCATTCTTTTCCTGCTTTGTGTGTCAACGTTTACGGTTGCTAAGCAACAGAGCATACGGCGGTAAAACCCGCCGAAGGGTAGACCTGGTCGAATTCACAGCCTAAACTCTTCCGGTCTCCTTATTTTCAAGGACTTCGAAGGATCCAGTCTAGGTAGACCGCGTCCTTGGAGGACACGTCTTAGGTTTTCGAACAGAGCCATAGTGAAAAAATTGCAAATCTTCTTTTTGGAAAGTAAGCCTGTATGCAGGGGCGGAGCTAGATGGGAGGCCAGAGGTGGCCATGGCCACCCTTAGCCAATCATTGGTCACCCCTGTAGCCACCCCTACCATTTATTTCCTTCCAATACAGATGGTGGCAGCAGTAATTCTCTCAAGTGGAATATTCAAAATATTGAAAAATCTTCATATATATTAACAATTACTTGACAACAAAAACACTGTGGTTAGTTATGCACATCAAAATACTAACATTAAAGATGATAAATACAGATTTCAAGCTCTTTTCTATACTAGATTTTCTCTTATTGGGTAAAGAAAAACTATGTGTTTCTGCAAGTCATCTAGGAGTCTTCAGTGAAATCATAGATTACTATTTTAATAAAAACTTAATAAACAATCAATTTATATAGATATAAGTGCTTCTAAATATTAATTTTATGAAGAATGATTACTGATAAAAGTAGGTAGGTAATGACAATGGGAAAGGTGTTTGCCCCAGAACTCAAACCTGCATTAATTTTATCCAGTATACCTTTTATCTAGAAAGCATGGATGTTTAAATATATGCATCTATTTGTTTGGAAAGGCTGAGTTGTCTTTATTTAGAAACTTTATTTAGAGACTTCTTAAATGGACTACACAACTGAAGTTGTGTAGTCCATTTAAGAAGTCAGCATCAGCTACACCCACCAGGGGGGAGGGTGTCTTGTTGTTTGTTTTTAATGCTTGCCAGATGCTCCGGGTATTCCTGGCATCGTAGAAAAAATTCTGGACTTTCTGGCTGTAGTTCTGCTTCGCTACCCGGATGGCTTTTAGCTTTTGTAGAACTTCCTCAGTCATCCAGGGTTGTTGGTTGGCAATGATGTTCTTTGTGGTGCTGATGTCCTCAATGCATTTGTGGATGTAGGCTGACACAGTCATGGAATAATCATCAATATTCTTCTTCCTAAAACTCACTCACCTACCCCTGCCACAGAACTCATTTTATTTGCATTGATAAGTATGTTTCTCAATTTGTGGAATAAAGAATAAGTGTCTATAATGTTTCCTGCTTTCTAGACACAGCTGCACATTTGGGCGTTTCAGCCGTTGCATTTTCATTTAAATTTTCTCGGGTCATACTTTTCCTCTCAGCTATTACTCAACTTATCTGAATAAAAGTTCATTTCAAATCGACTCTTAGTTTATTTACTATTTTTTTTCTGTACTTATTGTTTTAAGATTATGATTTAAAATCTCAGTCCTCAAGCATCCTCATTCACATTTTCCCCAAACATTTCACTTTTACATTATTTATTGGCTGCATCAGAAAATATCAAAGAGATTTTCAGTATAAACATCTTCCGGGATTTGGTCTACTACAGTGCACCTTTTCAGTGCAAAGAAATTTTTTTTTTACCCATAGACGGCCTAATGGGTAAAAAATGGCCAACTAAACTGCCAGATTGGGAAACATCCCAACCTAGCAACAATGCATGTAATATGGGAAACGTTAGCCTTTAGATGCAAAAACCCATCATGCACCAGAACATATTTTTGCAAAATATTTGAACATAAATTCTCCAAATATTACAGGAACATCGTAGTTTAGTTTAAAGAAAGCATTTTAGTTTGATTGTAATTTAGTTTGTTGCAAGGATTTTACAGTTGGAAGAAATAGAATATTACACCATATGCCAATGGTCACAAGGATGTGCATGACATGGACATGGACCGGGAAGTAAGTGTTGGGGCCGGTATGATTAAA